TTTAGTTCACCTTGGAGGAGGTGGGCTTTGCAGATCCGGCTTGCACGGTCTGCCAAGGTTTTACTGTGCTTCGTTTTTGACTTAGGTGATGGTTGGAGTTTTTGTGTAGGTATCTATCAGCGTGCGTGGGTTTTCTGTCGAGGGAGGGAGCAAAAGAGGCTCCGAATGCCTCAACCCGACTTTCTTTGGGCTCCACCCATTTGCCGGAGAAAAACACAGCCAACCCCATAATTAGAGGGCTGGGACTGGTTTGCACAGCTGGACGGACAGGTTCAGCCTTTCCTCGCCCTTAGTACAGGCGGTCCCCAAGTTGCAAATGAGAGCTTCTGAAGATTTGCTCTTAAGTTGAATTTGTAAGTCGGGACAGGGATATTTTTGGAGTGTAACTCCAGATACACACACACTTTAGATTGCATAGGGAAGGGCGAACATCCCTGTGGGGTTTCCTTTGCTGCCTGTGCCCCTGCTTGGAAGATTCAACTTCTCTTTATGTCCCTTGATAACTGGATTTTGGGAAATGTGATTGTTGTGGAAACAAGGATTGGTGTCAAGCCACTCTCCTGTGGGAGAGATAAAGTGGGGTATCTGTCTGTCTGTCTATACACACACATAATAAAAGTGAAAATATTATGTGTGTATGTGGCTGGCGTGTCCATTTACACAGACAAGCTCCTGCCTCCACAAACAGCTATAGCTCCCATCACTCAGGAGACACCAAAGACATTGCAGGTTATAGTCAGTGCCATGAACAAGAGCCCTGCCAATGTCCTCCACCTACACCACACTGCCCACCACCCAAGTGAAGGCTTTCATATGGGGATATCCTAGATTTTATGTGTTTCCTCCCCCACAGACATCCCAGTGTTTCTTTCTCTGTTGGTGTGGAATTTGCATGACCCTGCCCACTGCCTCCCCCTTAACCCTTTCCTATTTTTTCCGATTTACTTATGCAATCCCTCAATGTCGAAGGATGATTGTCCTCCAAGGTCAGTGAGTACGTAAGTGACTGTTGAGCCCTATTCTTGATCTGCATCTTCTCCCGCAGTGAGGGCATCGGTTTCCAGGTGGAAGGTGGTCCCAGTCGGGGTTGGCTTGATGCGCTTTCCTCTTGGCACATTTCTCTCTTTCGCCCTTTATTCGTGCCTCTTCAAATTCTGCAGCACTGCTGGTCGCAGCTGACCTCCAGTTGGAGCTCCAGTTGGAGCACTCAAGGGCCAGGGACTTCCCAGTTCTCAGTGTCTATGTTTTTAAGGTTGACTTTGAGCCCATCTTTAAATCTCTTTTCCTGTCCACCAACATTCCGTTTTCTGTTCTTGAGTTCGGAATAGAGCAACTGCTTTGGGAGACGGTGGTCGGGACATGGCCGGTCCAGTGGAGTTGATGGCGGAGGACCATGGCTTCAATGCTGGTGGTCTTTGCTTCTTCCAGCACGCTGACATTTGTCCGCTTGTCTTCCCGAGATTTGCAGGATTTTCTGGAGGCAGCGCTGATGGAATCATTCCAAATGAAGCAGAGAGTGTTTGAGGACTGGGACATCCGTAGGGATACCAAGGTGCTTGTTTATAAAGCTATTGTCCTCCCAACCCTGCTATACGCCTGCGAGACGTGGACTGTCGAGAGACGTCACATGCAACTCCTGGAATGATTCTTTTCTATGGCACACAGCAAACAGAGAAATTGATCAGCAACTTAACATACTAGAAAATTTTTGTTTTTGTTTTTGGTTTTTTTTGGTCGTGTCAGGAGCGACTTGAGAAACTGCAAGTTGCTTCTGGTGTGAGAGAATTGGCCGTCTGCAAGGACGTTGCCCAGGGGACGCCTGGATGATTTGATGTTTTTATCCTTGTGGGAGGCTTCTCTCATGTCCCCTATCAGCTGGAGCTGATAGAGGAAGCTCATCCGCCTCTCCCCGGATTCGAATCGCGACCTGTCGGTCTTCAATCCTGCCGGCACAAGGGTTTAACCCACTGCGCCACCGGGGGCTCCTGGTTTTGGGGTAATTCACCTTGATTTAGAGGAGTTGTATGTACTGAGATGTATAGTTCACCTGCAATCTAGGAACACTCTGAACTCCACCAAAGATGGAGTTGGACCAGATTTACACACAGAGCCCCCATGACCATCAAAAAATACTGGAGGTCTTTGGGGGAAAATTCACCTTGATTTGGGGGAGTTGTAGTTCACCTACATCCAGAGAGCACTATGAAACGGCGATGGACCTGGACCAAACTTGGCACACAGAACCCCCAAGGCTACTGGAGGAGTTTGAGGGGACTGACTCACCATAGTGGGAGTTGTAGTTTACCCTACAGCCAGAGAGCACACCGAACCCCACCAATGATGCATCTAGAGCAAACTTGCCCAACATAACAAACTTTAAGTATTGATGGAGTTATTCCGGGTTAACCTGGCATAATGGGAGTTGTAGTTCACTCACAATCTTATACATTTTGGACAATTAAAGTTGACTTTTTGAAAAAACCCAGGTAGTATTAAGGTTCCTCTCACTTCCTGTTGTCTCAGTCCCGTTCTTAACTGTAAGTCATCTGTAAGTCGGATGTTTGTGATTCGGGGATGTGTGAGAAGGGCTTCTGGATTCAGTAGGGTGCATTCAATGCCAACAAGGGTGGCGGCAGGACTTAAGGCTGTTAAAAGTGGGCCCATTCTGCAGTATAGATGCAACCTATACTGCGAGGCTGAATCTTATTGGATGTGCAATCAGATCCTGAGAGCAGGAGTTGTGAGTTTGCCTCCAACTCACTTTTGAGCATGGCAGCATCTTCTTTCCTTCTATCAGGAGAGAAGCAGAAAAGGAGCAAATGCAAATAGGAGGAGGAGCGGAGGGTATTTTTAACTGCTGAGCACAGGCCTCCAAGTATTTTACGCAGCTATTCTGGGCAAGGAGGAGGGAGTGAGTCATGCCAGCCGGATGGACGGCAAGACGAGCGCCTCTGGCTTTGGTTGAGAGGTTTTGAAGACACCTGCCTGAAAACAAACCCAAGCCTGCTCATCCTTTGCTCACTTGCCCGTACTGACTCGCATCTCATGCCCCATCTTAAACCCTGGACATCCAAAACCCTCACCCCCAAATCATAAAGCATTATTATTAAAAAGTGACCCAGCCAAAGGGAAAGGATGGATGGACGGAATCATAGAATCCTGGAGATGGAAGAGAAGGAAATAAGGGGAAGGAAGGAAATAAAGGAGGGAAGGAAATAAGGAAGGAAAGGGTAGGAAGGAAATAAGGAGGGAGGGAAGAAAGTGGGAAATAAGGATGGAAGGAGGGAGGGAAGGAAATAAGGAAAAAGAGAAGGAAATAAGGAAGGAGGGAGGGGAAGTAAGAAAGGAAGGAGGGAGGGAAGGGGAAATAAGGATGGAAGGAGCAAAGGAAGGAAGGAAGGAAGGAAAGAAGGCAGGAAGGAAGGAGGAAATAAGGAAGGAGGGAGGGAAGGGGAAATAAGGAAGGAAGGAAATAAGGAGGGAAGGAAGGGGGAAATAAGGATGGAAGGAGGGAGGGAAGGAAATAAGGAAAAAGAGAAGGAAATAAGGAAGGAGGGAGGGGAAAGAGAAGGAGGGGGAAGGGGAAATAAGGATGGAAGGAGAAAGGAAGGAAGGAAGGAAGGAAGGAAGGAAAGAAGGCAGGAAGGAAGGAGGAAATAAGGAAGGAGGGAGGGAAGGGGAAATAAGGAAGGAAGGAAATAAGGAGGGAAGGAAGGGGGAAATAAGGATGGAAGGAGGGAGGGAAGGAAATAAGGAAAAAGAGAAGGAAATAAGGAAGGAGGGAGGGGGAAAAAGAAAGGAAGGGAAGGAAAAAGGAAGGAGGGAAGGAAGAGGAGAAAGGAAGGAAGGAAGGGGGAGGGAAGGGGAAAGGGTGGAAGGAGCAAAGGAAGGAAGGAAGGGGGGAAAAGGAGGGAGGGAAGGGGAAATAAGGAAGGAAGGAAATAAGGAAGGAGGGAAGGAAGGAGGGAAGGAAGGGGAAATAAGGATGGAAGGAGGGAGGGAAGGAAATAAAGATGGAAGGAGCAAAGGAAGGAAGGAAGGAAGGGGGAAATAAGGAAGGAGGGGGAAGGGAATAAGGAAGGGGGAAATGAGGAAGGAAGGAAATAAGGAGGGAAGGAAGGGGGAAATAAGGAAGGAGGGGGAAGGGAATAAGGAAGAGAGGGAAGGGGAAATAAGGAAGGAAGGAAATAAGGAAGGAGGGAAGGAAGTGGGAAATAAGGATGAAGGAAGCAAAGGAGGGAGGGAGGGAAGGAAGGGAGGGAGGGAGGAGGAAATAACGGAGGGGAAGGGAATAAAGAAGGGAGGGAAGTGGAAATAAGGAAGGAAGGAAATAAGGAAGGAGGGAAGTAAGGGGGAAAGGTACTCCCTGCCTAGAGATATTAGATCAGCCCCCTCCCTCCTGATCTTTCAGAAAAGAGTAAAAACTTGGCTCTTCGAGCAGGCATTTGGAACCTCAGAAGAAATAGAGAAACTTGAATCGGAAAATGACCCAGGAACGGCCTAAGACAATGGAACGGATGAAGATTTGAACGAGTGGACATAATTCTTTTTAATTGTTATTATGCACTGTCTTTATGTTTAAATGCACTATAATGTTTCTTTTTTGCTTATCAATGTATGTACTTAATGGCATCGAATTGCGCCGACTGTGTATGCCGCCCTGAGTCGCATTCGGGCAGATATGGGCAGGATAGAAGTAATGTAAATAAATAAATAAGGATGGAGGGAGCAAAGGAAGGAAATAAGGAAGAAAGGAGGGAAGGGAGGAGAGAAGGAAGGAAGGGGGAAATAAGGAAGGAGGGAAGGAAGGAGGAAATAAGGAAGAAATGAGGGAGAGAAGGAAATAAGGAGGGTGGGAGGGTAGATAGGAAGGAAGGAAATTGGAACCATTTCATTTGCATTTAGAATCCCACTTTGCAAGGGCTTCCATTATATTAAGAATCCACTTTGGAACAGTTTCAGTTGCGTTTAGATCTTGCTTTAAAAAATACAAGACAACATTGCTATTTCAACCTCTTTTATTTCAGAGTGACAGGGGAAAGGGTACATTTTAGGGGAGAATCCCAGGTAGAAAACAAGGTCCTATGGCTGTAAGGATTCGAAGAGCTCTTTTCTCCCCAGCAGAGGCTTATTTCTCCACAAAGCAGCAGTTGAAGAAGCAAGAGCAAATGCTGCCTGTCGGTGGTCGGAACCCAGATTTGTCCCGAAGCCAACACAACACTCCGTTCTCATCAATCCCAAGTTTTGGGAATATTGCAAGGATTGAACTTCTCTCCCAGGGAATGCCAGAAGAGGACGAACGAGAACCAAAACAATCCCGTCATATCAGGAACTCTTTGAAACTCAGGAGAATTTTGTCCAAACACTGGTTTTGTATTTCTTTAAAAAAAGAGAAAACATCAAAAAGAAAAGAAAAGAGCACAACCTAAAGTCCATCTTGTGGAACCAAGGCAGACGGCTGACCAGCCTTTGCCAGTGGGATTGCTGTCGGATCCCGGGCCCCTTCCCCGGCAGCCATGAGCCTCTCAGGGCTTTGCGGCCTGTCTTCCTGGCTTCTTCTCTTGCTGCCCACGGCCACTCCCAGGCACCCCACCTCGGCCACGGCCTCCGAACACACCTGAGGGAAGAAAAGGCACCTTTATGAGAAGGTGGTCCAAGCGGAGAGCCAGTGACGACGATTGAAAGGACAGGAACCCATGGCCAGAGTTGGTCAGGGGCAGAGGAGGGGGACCATTTTCACAGTAGGGATATAAATAGAATGACGAGCAGTCTCTGACTTACAAACAACAGGGACATTGTTTAAGTCAGTGTTTCTCAACCTGGGGGTCAGGACCCCTGGGGTGGTTGTGAGGGGGTTTCATTAGGAAGGTTGAGAAACACTGATGTAGCCCAACTCATGCCAATGTCCTCCCCAAACGCCACGCTGCCCACCACTCAAGGAATGCTTTCATTCGGGGACAACTTACTCCTAGATTTTACGTGTTTCCTCCACTACAGGCATCCCAGTGTTTCTTACTCTCTCCACTGGTGTAGAATTTACATAATCCCGCCCACTGCCTCTCCCTTAACCCTTTCTTACTCTTTTCAACTCTGTCTGCACAACAAACAGAGCAGAACTAATCAACAACTGAACGTACTGGAGGAGTTCAGGGGATTGATTCCACATGGTGGAAGTTGTAGTTCACCCTGCATCAAGACAGAGCACTGTGACCCCGACTGACAATGTACCTGGACTGGAATCCCCAAGACCAAAGAAAAACACTGGATAGGTTTGGAGGGAATTCACCCTGATTTATAGCCATTGTGGGTACTGGGATTTATCGTTCACCTTCAATCAAAGAGTACTGTGGACCCCACCAATGATGGCCCTGGACCTAACTTGGCACACGGAATCCCCATGATGAACAAAAAATACATGAGGGCTTTGGGGGCAGGGGGGGATTTACCTTCATTTCTGGGAGTTGTAGTTCACTTACATCCAGAGACACTGTGACCTCCATCGATGACGGATCTGGACCATACTTGGCACACAGAACCCCTATGACCAACTGAACTTACTGGAGGGATTTGAGGGGACTGGCTCACCATAGCAGGAGCTGTAGTTTATCCTGCAGCTAGAGATCACACTGAACCCCACCAATAATGCAACTAGAGCAGTGTTTCTCAAACTTCCTAATGCCTCGACCCCTTAATACAGTTCCTGTATTATACATGTATGGTGACCCCCAACCATAAAATTATTTTCGTTGCTACTTCATAACTGTAATTTTCCTTCCTGTTATAAATCGTAATGTAAAAATCTGATATGCAGGATGCATTATCATTCACTGGACTCAATTTGGCTCAAATACCCAAATTTGAATACTGGTGGGATTGTGGAAGGGGGGGGGGGTATTGATTTTGCCATTTGGGAGTTGTAGTTGCTGAACCTACAATCAAAGAGCATTCTAAACTCCACCAAAGATGGAACTGAACCAAACTTGGCACACAGAATTCCCATGACTGACAGGGTTTGGTGGGTACTGACCTTGAGTTCTGGAGTTGTAGTTCACTGAACCAAATTTGGCACAAATAGCCAATACACCCAAATTTGAATACTGGTGGGGTGGATTTTGTCATTTGGAAGTTTTAGTTGCTGGGATTGATAATCTAGCTACAAACTTGGCGCACAGAACTTCCATGACTACCAGAAAAAGTGTCTGATGTTGTCTGATGGTCTTTGGCGACCCCTCTGACACCCCCTCGTGACCCCCCCCCCCCGGGGTCCCGACTCCCAGGCTGAGAAATACTAGGCTACATGTTCATGGCATTCACTATAACCTGAAATGTCACTGGAGGGAGGGCCATTGGTGTCTCCTCAGCACTGTGGGTTAAAGCTGTTTGTGGAAGTGGGAGCCTGTGTGTGAAAGTGGTTACCCCAGGCACATACATACATACATACATATTTTCATTTTTATTATGTGTATAGACAGATGTATAGATAGATATATGTGTGTGTGTGTATTTTGAAGTTTAACTGTAACCAAATACATATATATGTTTGGCTGGATTTCCACTTCAAAAATACCCCTGTTCTGACTTACAAACAAATTCAACTTCAAAACAAACCAACAGAACCACTGTCCAGGGCAATACTTGTTGATTGCCCATGTGTGTCTGTGTCCAAATCCCGGGGCTCCCTTCCAGACCCGGCTCTGCACCAGTTCTTACCACGTCCGGTGCCGCCCAGTCCACGCCCCTTCTGCTGCTTCTGCTGCTGCATCCCACCACGGCCTCGGCCCTTGGAGACCACCTCCTCCTTCACCATGTCGATGATTTCATCCGGGATGCGCAGGTACTTGATGGTGCTTCCCCGGATGTAGCACTCCGGCATCCGCCAGAACTTGTCTCCGTCCTGAAGTGGAACAAACAGGAAGAGAGAGGACAATGGCACGGATGGACAGGAACCAATCCATAGGGGACAACGGCATAAAGGAAAGCGGCTCATACCCTTTGGCGTCCTCAAAATGTACGAGGGTTATCTGGAAAGTAAGGTGACAAGGCACGTAGCTCTTGCGGGGAATTTTCTCAGGGGAAGTTGGTCTCACTGCCGTGTAGCAGGAAACCAGCGGACTTGAACGAGCAGTGCCAGTCGTCAGTAGCTCATCAACTGTCATTGTGGCGAAGGTTAGAGATTAGCATGCTCATTCCATTTCCCTCCAAGTGTGAAGTTCGTGCTGTAATACACTACCTAAACGCTAAGAGCATGAACACTGCTGCGATTCATGGCAAAATAATTTCAGTAATGTCAAGACAGCATGTGACAAAATGGGTACGGAATATATTGTGAGACCATGAAGAAACTTCACAGAGCCATCCGAAACAAACATGGTGGGATGCCGACGGCAGGAGTCAGTCTCCTTCATGACAGTGCACGTCCACACATCACTCATGCAACACCAGAGTTGTTGACTTCCTTTGGTTGGGATGTTTTAAGCCACCCCTCTCACAGCCCGATCTGACACCCAGTGACTATCATCTGTTCACGCAATTGAAGGAACACATGGATGAAAAATACTTTTCCGACGACGAGGTGAAAATCAAAGTGACAAATTGGCTGTAAAAGGTGGAGGGAAACTTCTATAACCCAGGCATCAAAAACACATCCCACAGATGACAAAATGGATTTAACTGAATGGTGATTATGTGGAAAAATAATGTAATACAGGGTGAGGCAGCATAACTTCCTTTTTTAAAATGCGCGCCATTCAGTCGGTTGAAGACGTAGCGCAGCGCTAGTGGTCTCGTTCGAGAGGCAGGAGTATAAAGTTTCATCCTGACACAGTTCAGTCACCATCATGTGTTGGAACAGTGAGGAACGGGCTTTTGCCATTGAGGCCTACTTTTCGAGTGGATTTGGAGTGGCCGGCCCGCTCTCCAGATTTGGCCCCTTGTGATTTTTTTTCTATGAGATTTTTTGAAATCCCGTGTTTATGTGAACCGTCCAAGGACCCTACAAGATTTGAAGACCAACATCCAGGAAGAAATTGCCAACATAACGCCTGCTATGCTGACAAGAGTCATGACAAACGCCAGAAATCGGTTTACTCAGTGTATGGAGAATGGGGGACAGCACCAGGATTGTGGCGCAGCTGGCTGAATGTCAGCTGCATTAAGATCACTCTGACCAAAAGGTCATGAGTTCAAAGCCAGCCTGGGTTGGAGTGGGCTTCCAACCAATTGTGTAGCCTGTTGTCGACCTTTGCAACCCGAAAGACAGTTGCATCTGTCAAGTAGGAAAATTAGGTACCACTTTGTGTGGGGAGGCTAAATTAACTAATTTATGAGGCCATAAAAAAGACTCCAGCAAAGCACTCCAGCAAAAGCATGCGGAGAATGCGGAAGTACTTCATCAGTGTCGCAGATGGACGATGAAAGCGACAGCTCCCCTGGCGGCCAGAAAAAGTTAAATAGCCTCTGTGTATGTCTGTATATGTTGTGTATGTCAAAAATTGGCACTGAATGTTTGCCATATATGTGTACACTGTAATCCGCCCTGAGTCCCCTACGGGGTGAGAAGGGCGGAATATAAATGCTGTAAATAAACAAATAAATAAATAAAATAATTTGATCTTCAAAACTACGTAAAACAAATCTTTAGGTATGCGCCTACATTATATAAAAAAAATCTGATTCATACAATGGCTTTTATTAAGTTTTCAAAAAAGGAAGTTATGCTGCCTCACCCTGTACTCCATGGAAGTTTCATTAAAATATATTCATTCTTTGTATTTTAAAAAAATCTTGTTACTTCACTTTCTGGATATCCCTCGTACAACATACATGAAATCAAGATCACAGTGAGTGGGGGAAAGGAGTGGTTCAACAGAATGGATACAGTAAGGGTGCAGAACAAGAGCCATCTCTTCCTTCGGCCAACTGGAGCAACAGAGCATGGAATAACACAAATTGAGCATGTTCGTGCCAGAAGATGTTTTCTTCTCTCTTGAGAAAAATGTGGATTTAAAACCATGCATTTTAAGGAGATCTGCGTTCTACAATCGCCACAACTTGGAAGTGCACTGCTCTCTTCTCCTCGCCCCACCCAACAACCAAGATGGAAAACAAGAGGCTTTTCAGTCCTCTGAAAAGGTGAACCAGGACAGAGGTGGCACCCCCACCTAGCGGACAGCAGGCGCATAGCAAGGGAAGCCAAGGCCAGAGCATTTGGGCAAAAGGACTTGTCTGGAGGACAACCTCCAGAATCCCAGAGGAGAAAATTAGCTCCATGGCATCCCGTTCCCCAGCAATGCCTCCTTTCAGGATAACGGGGATGAGCTTGGCACAGCTGCTTAAAGCCGCATGCAGGGCCTTCTCTGTGGTAGCCCCCCCGACTCTGGAACTCTCTTCCCAAGGACATCAGACAAGCCCCAATGTTGGCAGTCTTTAGGAAGAGCTTGAAGACCTGGCTGTTCCAGTGTGCCTTTCCAGAATAGGAAACTTCCAGCATCATGTTCCAAACGCACTTTATTAGAGATTTAAGATCACACCTACCCTAAAATCCTTACATTTCACCTGTCATGTCCAGCACTTTTAAGTTTATTCATTACATTTGGCCCGGCCCTTAGTTTTAAATGTGTCATGATGTATTGTTTTAATGTTTTACTGTTATTGCTTTATGTTTATTGGTTGCTTTATGAGTTTTATGTTGTATTTGTTATGCTGTTGTTTTATTGAGGGCCTTGGCCTTTGTAAGCGCACCGAGTCCTTCGGGAGATGTTAGCGGGGTACAAATAAAGTTAATAATAATAATAATAAATAAAATTAATAATAAGCCGAGGGTGGGAAATGCAACATACTGGTAAATTTCAAAATAAAAATAGATACCAATAAAATTACATTAATTGAGGCACCAGAAGGTTAAATGTTTTTGAATATTTACATAAAACTGTAATTTAAGATAAGACTGTTCAACTCTGATTAAACCATTCTGACCTTCTTCAGTGTAAATGTGCTTACGTATCCTTCCAATAATAATAGAGAGTATAATAATAAATGTAATAATAACAATAAATAGAGTAAAATAATAAATGTAATAATAACAATAATAAATAGAGTAAAATAATAAATGTAATAATAACAATAATACAGTAAAATAATACATGTAATAATAATAATACATTTATTACGTATTTATAACAGAGTAAAATAATAAATAACCTCGACTCGAGTATAAGCCGAGAGGGACATTTTCAGCCCCCAAAAAAGTCTGAAAAACTAGGCTTATCCTCGAGTATATACAGTATATGTTGCTTTATGCCGATATGTGTCATATGGTCAAGGTTCTTAATTTATAGTATATGTTATCATCTAGAAATTATGTTTTGGCTTTCACATGTATGTACGGCATTGCATTTTGCCAGTATTATGTTGGAAACTGCTTTCAGTCCCCTCAGGAGTGAGAAAAACAGCATGGAAATGCAGTAAATAAATAAATAATAATGAGAAAAGATGTTATGGAGGGGCTCTGATGCATCCTTGGAGGCAGAGGAGGCAAGTTTGAAGGGCCCAAAACCCTGAGGACAGAGAGCTTTGAAACAACTTCCAAGGAAATTGTTCCCAAAAATATAAATGTATATATTACATAGGAATGGGGCCACAGTGGGTTAGACTGCTAAGCTGCAGAAATTGCGGACCGGAAGCTCGATGGTTTGAATCCGCAGGATGGGATGAGCTCCTGTTGTGAGCCCCATCTTCTGCCAACCGAGCAGTTTGAAAACATGCTAGTGTGAGTAGATCAATAGGTTCCACTCCGGCGGGAAGGTAACGGCGCTCCATGCAGTCATGCTGGCCACATGACCTTGGAGGCGTCTATGGACAACGCCGGCTCTTTGGCTTGGAAATGGAGATGAGCACCAACCCCCAGAGTCGGACACAGACTTAATGTCAAGGGGAAACCTTTCCCTTTCTTACATAGGATGCAGCAAAAGAATCATACAGCATAGTTTTTTTTGTTCATATCAAGACATTCCTTTGCTTCCTAGCATTCAAAAAGATGTGGCCCACCAATCTATAAATGCCACCACTTTCCAAAATAGCGCCACTTGGGGATTTTTTAATTATTCCTTTGGAGAGGCAGAGGTGCGGCTTTCCACACACCCATGTTTGATTCTTACCGTTACTTCATCCAACTGTCTTCAAAAGAAAACCAGGTATTTCAATACCCTGAACCAATGCCCTTTTTAAATTTAATTTTTTCATAAATTGTGATAATATGAGAAACAACAACAAGCAATCTTCAAGGTTCACCAATCAAAATGCAAGTAGGTTGCTGTGAGTTTTCTGGGCTGTCTGGCCAGAAGCATTCTCTCCTGATGTTCCGCCTGCATCTCTGGCAGGCATCCTCAGAGGTTGTGAGGTCTGTTGGAAATTTATTTATTTAAAAGTTTTATATACCAGCCTTCTCACCTCTCTTGAGGGACTCAGGCCGGTTTCCAACCATAATATCACAGACAATCAATAAAACATCATAATTCATATTACAGTAAAACATTAAAACAGCAATTACAATCAATAACTACAATGGTCAGTAGTCACACTAAAATCGTTGTTCATCATCCTCCTTCCATATCTCAGGGTGTTGACTCACTCGTCGAATGCCTGTCTCCATAGCCAAGTCTTCACCTGTTTCCTAAACGTCAGGATAGAAGGGGCGGTTCTGATCTCCAGTGGGAGAGAGTTCCAGAGCCGAGGGGCCACCACCGAGAAGGCCCTGTCCCTCGTCCCCACCAGACGCGCTTGCGAGGCCGGTGGGACCGAGAGCAGGGCCTCTCCAGACGATCTTAATAATCTTGGCAAGTGGGGTTTATATATCTGTGGAATGTCGACCTTTGCAGCAAAAGACAGTTGATTTTATTTATTTATTTACAGCTTTTATATTCCGCCCTTCTCACCCCGCAGGGGACTCAGGGCGGATTACAGTATACACATATATGGCAAACATTCAATGCCAGTTTTTGACATACAAACATATACAGACATAGATAGAGGCTATTTTTAACTTTTTCTGGCCGCCGGGGAGCTGTCGCTTTCATCGTCCATCTGCGACGCTGATGAAGCACTTCCGCATTACCCACATGCTTCCCCGCTGGAATGCTTTGCTGGAGTCTTCTTTATGGCCTCATAAATCAGTTAATTTAGCCTCCCCACACTTTTAAGGTGGTACCTTATTTTCCTACTTGACAGATGCAACTGTCTTTCGGGTTGCAAAGGTCGACAACAGGCTACACACAACTGGTTGGAAACCCACTCCAACCCGGGCTGGCTTCGAACTCATGACCTTTTGATCAGAGTGATCTTAATGCAGATGACACTCAGCCTGCTGCACCACAATCCCGGTTGCATCTGTCAAGTAGGAAATTTAGGTACCGCTTATGCGGGGAGGCTAATTTACGAGGCTATAAAAATCTCCAGCAAGCATGCAAAGAATGAGGAAGTATTTCATCAGTGTCACAAATGGACGGTGAAGTGACAGTTCCCCTGGTGGCCAGAATACCCTCAAGAAAAAGCTGGAATGTTAAATAGCCTCTGTGTGTCTGTTTATATATGTTGTGTGTCTATGGCATTGAATGTTTGCCATGTAATCTGCTCCGAGTCCCCTTCGGGGTGAGAAGGGTGGAATATAAATACTGCAAATAAATAAATAGATGTCCAGGGTGGGAGAAAGAACTCTTGTCTGTTGGAGGCAAATGTGAATGTTGCAATTGGCCATCTTGATTAGCATTGAATGGCCTTGCAGAATCTGCAAAGCCCACCTCCTCAAACACAAATCAAGGACCATGAACGGCACTGCAGCCTAATACAACCAGAGAAGTCAACCATAGCAGAGCACCTGATGAACCAACCTGGACACAGCCAAGTATTTTAGAACACTACCATGTCAGACTACACAGAGAAGCCATTGAAATCCACAAGCATGCGGACAATTTCAGCTGAAAGGAGGAAACCATGAAAATGAACAAAATCTGGCTACCAGTATTAAAAAAAACTCTAGAATCGAAATAGTAAATAAAGAACACTAAAAAAAACAGGGGAATTCCAGACAAGAAACAATCAGGGGAGCAAGTACCAAGTTTATAATCTTATGAGTCTTATGGATGTATTTACAACAAACATTGATGTATATGATAAATATCAGTCCACCAGAGGAAGGCCTGGAGTGAGGCCGAAACCGGTCATGGACTACGGATTTAAATTCAACTCGACGCAAGAGCATACTTTTTAGAGTGACTGTACCAAACGCATATAATATTGTTTTGTGAATGCCATGATTTGGAACTGTATAATATGTTTCCCCAGTCATATTATTGGCTGAATTGATTTATTTTTCTTTCCGTGTACAAGTGGGCTATTGTGTTGTATGTAAGAAACAATCAGGGCCAGCTCATCACCTCCCAACAAAGGATCCCCCAAGGCAGTGAGCAGCTAGACCTTGAAGCTGCAAGGGCATTCAGTGCTAAGGAGGCCAATGGTAACATTCTTACTTACTTACTTTACTTAGGCGATCCCTCGTTTTCCGGGGAGGATTGTCTTCCAGTATTCTTGTGGGTCCGTATGTGGCTGTGGAGCCCTATTCTTGCTCTGCATCTTCTTCCTCAGTGAGGGCATTGGTTTCCAGGTGGAAGGCGGTCTTGGTCGGGGTTGGCTTGACGCGCCTTCCTCTTGGTACGCTTCTCCCATTCGCCCTCCATTCGTGCCTCTTCAAATTCTGCAGCACTGCTGGTCACAGTTGACCTCCAGCTGGAGTGCTCAAGGGCCAGGGCTTCCCAGTTCTCAGTGTCTATGCCAGAGTTTTTAATGTTGGCTTTGAGCCCATCTTTAAATCTCTTTTCCTGTCCAACAACATTCCGTTTTCCGTTCTTGAGTTCGGAGTAGAGCAACTGCTTTGAGAGACGGTGGTCGGACATCCGGACTACGTGGCCGGCCAGCAGAATTGATGGCGGAGGACCATAGCTTCAATGCTGGTGGTCTTTGCTTCTTCCAGTACGCTGACGTTTGTCCGCCTGTCTTCCCAAGAGATTTGCAGGATTTTCCGGAGGCAGCGCTGATGGAATCGTTCCAGGAGTTGCATGTGATGTCTGTAGACTGTACACGTCTCACAGGCATATAGCAGGGTTGGGAGGACAATAGCTCTATAAACAAACACCTTGGTATCCCTACGGATGTCCCGGTCCTCAAACACTCTCTGCTTCATTCGGAAAAATGCTGCGCTTGCAGAGCTCAGGCGGTGTTGTATTTTGGTGTCGATGTTGACTTTGGTGGAGAGGTGGCTGATCAACATTTTCTAATGTTACACCATTAAGCTGTATCTCTGCCATTGGAGAGGGGTTGGCTGGTGTCTGCTGGAACAGCACCTTAGTTTTTTCAATGTTCAATGACAGGCCGAGCTTCTCGTATGCTTCTGCAAAGGTGTTTAGAGTGGCTTGTAGATCTTCTTCTGAATGCGCACAGACGACGTTGTCATCAGCATACCGGAGTTCTATAACAGATGTTGTTGTAACCTTGGTTTTGGCTTTCGGTCTGCTGAGGTTGAATAGCTTGCCATCTGTCCGATAGATGATTTCCACTCCGGTGGGAAGCTTCCCATCAACATTCACACTTGCCTCAAACAGACAAGAGTTTGTTCTCCCATCCTGGACAATCCAGAGATATATAAACCCCACTTGCCTAGTTTCCAACAGACCTTACAGTCTCTGAGGATGACTGCCATAGATGTGGGCTTGGTTCTTGGAAGGCCTCCAGGCATTGCCAGGAAAAAAAGGTGGGCAGCCAGAGTGCAGGAAGAGATGGAATGACAGGTCCAGTTCCATATAAGGCCTCCTTGTCCTTTCACATGAAGATAAGAAAGGATAACTTCTGGGAACTCAATGCTGGTTTTGCCACCCGGAGCGGACAACCACATAGACCCAACAAGTGACTTGGGACAGGACGGCTCCTTTGGTTCCTACGTGAGCCCTAACCATATACCACCATCCCCTTTCATTCCCCTCCTTACCCGGGAGGTACAAATGACTTCACGGAGGTTGATGTTCATCCAGTTGTCACAGCTCACCAGGTGCCCATTGTACGTCTCTCCATTTTTGAGCTCCACCAGCTGGAATGACACAAAACATGCAGTCGGGAATGGGTCCGCTAGAGCAAGCGTCCTCAGTTTGCGGCCTGCAGGCCAGTTCCACTCCACCAAGGGATTTGACCTATCTCCCGCCACAAACTTTAGACTCGATACTACTGTGTCCACCATTCACACCCTCTTCTTCCTCCTTCCCTCTCTATCTCCTTCCAAAACTGAGGGATCCTCTCCACCTCATTCCTGCTCCTTAACTCTCCTTTACTCTCTCTATTCCCCTTCTCCCCCCCCCCAAATGGAGAGAAACCTCTCCGCCTCATTATGTCTCCCCCCCATAACAAAGGGAGAGAGGAAAGGAGAAAGAAAAAAAGATGTAGGAAAAAGGGAGGGGAGCAAAAGAAGGAAAAAAGGTAGGTAGGAAAAAGAGAAAAGGAAGGGAAGAAAAGGAGAAAGAAAGGCAGGAAGGAAAGGGAAAGAAGAAATAAAGGCAGGTTGGAAAGGGAGGAAAGGAAGAGAAGAAAGGGAGAAAGAAAGGCAGGAAGGAAAGGGAAAGAAGAAATAAAGGCAGGTAGGAAAGAGAGGAAAGGGAGAGAAGAAAGGGAGAAAGAAAAGCAGGTAGGAAAGAGGAAAGGGGAGAAGAAAGGGAGAAAGAAAGGCAGGTAGGAAAAAGAGAAAAGGGAGAAAGAAGGGAGGAAAGAGGAATGGAAAAGATGAAAAGGAAGAGAAGAGCAGGMAGGGAAAAAAGGAAAGGGAGAGATGAAAGGCAACTAAGAGGAAAGGGAGAGAAGAAATAAAGGTAGGCAGGAAAGAGAGGAATGAAAGAGAAGGGAGAAAGAAAGGAGAAAGGAAAGGAAGAGGAGAAATAAATTCAGGTTGGAAAGAGAGGAAAGGAAGAGAAGAAAAAAGAAAAGCAGGTACGAAAGAGACAAAAGGAAGAGAAAAAAGGCAGGGAGGAAAGGGAAGAAGAAAGGGAGAAAGAAAGGCAGGTAGGAAAGAGTAATGGAAGAGAATAAAGGGAGAAAGAAAGGAGAGAGGAAAGAGGAATGGAAAAGATGAAAGGGAGAAAGAAGGGCAGGTAGGAAAGAAAGGAAAGGGAGAGAGGAAAGGCAAGGAGGAAAAAGGGAGAGAAGAAAGAAAGGTAGGTAGGAAAAACGAATGGAAGAGAAGAAAGGGAGAAAGAAAGGAGGGAAGAAAGAGGAAAAGAAAAGAAGAAAGGGAGAAAGAAAGGAGGGAGGAAAGAGGAATGGAAAAGACAAAAGGGAGAAAGAAGGGCAGGTAGGAAAGAAAGGAAGAGAAGAAAGAAAGGAGGAAAGGAAGAAGGGAGGAAGGAGGAAAGGAAAAGAAGAAAGGGAGAAAGAAAGTCAGGTAGGAAAGAGGAATGGGAGAAAGAAAGGCAAGTAAAAAAATGAGAGGGAAGGAATCCCCTTTGAATAAACCTGTGAGAGGGTACTACAACTCCCAGCATTTCTGACCACTGGCTAAGCTAGCTGGTTCTGCCAGTCCAGCGCAGTCATAGTACTTCTTTCAAATAACAAAAGGGTGGTCAAGCAGTGCTTGGGCTTTACTGCTGTGGACTGTGTCCTAACCTCGACCAGGAAAGGAAAATGCTGCTGGTATTGTGGCAGAACTGTGCGCTCACTCACCATGGGGTGGTTCTGGGCCGTCTTCAGCAGCGATAGCGGAAGCTGCAAGAGGGAGGAAAAACAGAGCATTTGAGTATTTGAACATCAAACCAGGCAGGCCTTTACAGCCACAGAAACCCTGCCTCGGGGGTGTGTTGCAAAAGCTCCTTCTTTGGAGGCCTTTCAAGAAAAGCTGGATGGCCATCTGCTGGGGGGGCTTTGATTGTGCTTTTTCTGCATGAAGGCAGAAGAAGGTTGGACTGGATGCCACAGCAGGAGAGTCTTGACTGTGGTTCCCACATTGAAACTTATACACACACACAGATTCAACAAGAGGAAGTCACCAATAAAAAAGGTTAACATCAGTAAGAGTTGTTCATCATAAGAATAAAAGTTGCAACGGTTCACAAAAAGAATGCATCAGAGTTGTTCAGAAGGTATGGAACTGTATAACACCCTTGCCATTGGGAACACTGTGAAAAAATGAAATTCCTGTATTATCATATTTAGGGCAAACAAAAAACTGGTGAAGTGTTTCAACAGAGACCATGTCACAAGAACAAACCTTTTTGGGAACTTCTATATTTATATACATATCTCCCATCTAAAAGAGATATTACATTACATCTTGCAGTCAACAATGCTCTCCTCTGGGTGGGATGCATCAAAATGTGGAGATAATAAACTACCATGACTCCACATTCACGTACAGTTAATGATGTGGTAGGGGAACCAGTTGCCTTTGCTGAAGGAGTCAGATTATAGTGAAAGTCAAAATCCAAAAGTCTTCTCTTATGGAATGAATGGCATGGTAGGGGTACATTCTATCTTTCCTGCAAGAGTCAGATTATATGGAAACCAAGATCGAAAAGTCTGCTCTCATGGAATGAATGGCATGGTAGGGAAACAAGCTGTCTTTGCTGCAAGAGTCAGATTTTGAAAGTCAAGATCCAAAAGTCTTCTTTTACGGAATGAATGACATGGTACAGGAACAAGCTGCCTTTGCTGCAAGAGTCAGATTATGATGGAAGTCAAGATCCAAAAATCTGCTCTCATGGAATGAATGATAGAATCATAGAGTTGGAAAAGACCATCTGGGCCATCTAGTCCAACCCCCAGCCATGCAGGAAAAGCACAATCAAAGCACCCCTGACAGATGACCATCCAGCCTTTGTTAAAAAGCTTCCAAGGAAGGAGCTTCCACCAGACTCCGAGGCAGAGAGTTCCACTGCTGAACAGCTCTTCTTAGAGTCAGGAAGTTCTTCCTAATGTTCAGGTGGAATCTCCTTACCTGTAATTTGAACCCATTATTCCTAGTCCTAGTTTCAAGGGTAGCAGAAAACTAGCCAGCTCCCTCTTCCTTACAGGGAGAGGTCAACCCTCCTGTTTAAGGAGCTCCATTGGCTGCCATTCATTTTCCAGTCCCAATTCAAGGTGCAGGTGCTTACCTACAAAGCCCTAAACAATTTGGGACCCGCCTACCTGCGTGACTGCATCTCCGTATATGAACCCACACGATCTCTCCGATCATCTGGAGAGGCCCTGCTCACGATCCCACCTGCGTGGCAAGCACGATTGATGGGGACGAGGGACAGGGCCTTCTCCGTGGTGCCCCCCCCCACACTGGAACTCTCTCCCCAAGGACATCAGACAAGCCCCAACATTGGTAGTCTTTAGGAAGAGCTTGAAGACTTGGTTGTTCCAGTGTGCCTTCCCAGAATAGGAAACTCCTAGCATCATGTCCCAAATGCACTTTACTAGAGATTTAAGATTGTCTGCACACCGCACCTATCTTCAAAAACCTAGCCATTTCACCTGTCATGCCCAGCATTTTAAAATTTTTAATCATTACATTGGCCCGGCCTTAGTTTTAAATGTGTCATGGTGTTATTGTCTAATGTTAATTGTTATTGTTTTAATATTTATTGCCTGTTTTATGAGTTTATTTATTGTTGTATTTGTTATGCTGTTGTTTTTGATGTGTTGGGCCTCGGCCTCTTGTAAGCCGCACCGAGTCCTTCGGGAGATGTTAGCGGGGTATAAATAAAGGTTTATTATTATTATTATTATTATTATTATGACACCCCCCTTCACATATTTATACATGGCTCCTCTCATGTCTCCTCTCAACCATCTCTTCTGCAGGCTAAAGATACCCAGTTCTTTAAGGTGCTTTTCAGGGGGATTATTCATGGTCTCTAGACCTTTGATAATTTTAGTTGCCCTCTTTCTCTGGACACCTTCCAGCTTAGAGTCAATATCTCTTTTAAACTGCAGTGCCCAGAATTGGACACAGTGTTATTCCAGGTAAAGAGGTCTAACAAAGCCAAATAGAGAGGCACCATGACTTCTTCCCTCGATCTAGCCACTATTCTCCTTTTGATGCAGCCCAAAATCCCATTGGTTTTTTCAGCTGTTTTATCACACTCATGGCTCATGTTCAACTTGTTGTCCATGAAGACTCCAAGATCTTTTTCACATGTATCTCTGTTGTCCAGCCAGACATCACCCATCCTGTATCTTTGCATTTCATTTTTTCTGCCTAAGTGTTGTCTCTTATTTTGTCCTTTTGAAATGTATTGTGTTAGTTTTACCAATAAGTTCTCTCATCTGTTGAGGTCATTTTGACAGATGAGAGAGCTGGGCCAAAACTAATATCTCAGTAAGGCCTTTGACAGGGTCCCCCATGGCCTTTTGGCAAGCAAACTAGTCCAATGTGGGAGGGCAAGGCTATTAGGTGGACCTGTAATTGGTTAAGCAACCAAACCCAAAGGGTGCTTCTCCCCAATAGTTCCTTTTCTTCATCCTGGAAAGAAGTGACCATTTGGGTGCCATAAAGAGTGTTCAGTCCTGGGCCCAGTTTTGTTCAACATCTTTATTAATGCCCTGGATGATGGTTTAGGGGGCATGCTGATCAAGTTTGCAGATGGGACCAAATGAGGAGGGAGAGCTAATCCTCCAGAGGACAGGATCAGGATGCAAAATGACCTCAACTGATGGGCCAAACTCACAAAATTACTGTATATTCTGGCATATAAGACGACTGGGCGTGTAAGATGACCCCCAACTTTTACAGTTAAAATATAGAGTTTGGGATATATTCGCCGTATAAGACTATCCCTCTTCCAATGCACACCAAATAAAAATTTAAAAAGCATTAGATTTGATTTCAATGTGGTAATTTTCCTATTACTGTACCTCCTTCTCTGCCTCTCAGATGTCGCACATGTGCACCTGCACCGCTTCACTGCAGTCTTCAGGAGCGAGATCTGAGAGGCAGAGGAGGAGGTATGGTAATAGGATACAAGGGCGGGCCAGACAGGTAAAAGAGGTGTGTTTGGCTGGGCCCAGAGCAACTCTATCTCTTTTTTCCATGCCCCGGGCACCCCGGACGGCTGCAGCTTGCTCCCTCTTAACTTACACTTTCCCGGTGAGGTGCCCCTTCACCTCACCATCGGGACTGCATTAAGTCCACGAATCCTGATGAATGGATTTTCTTTTACCATACTTGTACAGCGTCACCCTTAATGCTTTCATACAGTTGCATCTTACGACAGGGATGCGGCCATTGCCATTTTGAGCTCCCCCCACAATATGCAGCAATCACAGATTCTCCAATCCGATGGGAAGTTTCAGCACCCGCTCTATAAGACGACTCCCGCGTATAAGACTACTCCCGCATATAAGACTACTTCTGCGCATAAGACGACCCCGCACACAAGACGACCCCTAACTTTTGAGATGATTTTCTTGGGTTAAAAAGTAGCCTTATACGCCAGAATATACGGTAATTTCAACAAGGACAAATGTAAGACATGATACATAGGCAGACAAAATGAAATGGAAAGATCCAGGATGGGTGCTGCTTGGCTTGAAAACAATTCATGTGAGAAAGATCTTGGGGTCTTCATGGGGAACAAATTGAACATGAGCCAATAGTGTGATGGTTTTAATGTATATGTCTATTTTTACTGTATGCAAGTATATGCATGGTATCAAATTGCTGCCTTTTTGTAAGGCCGCTCTGAGTCCCCCTTTTGGGGTGAGAAGGGCTGGATATAAACATAATAAATAAATAAATAAATGCAGCAGCTAAAAAGCCTATGGGTTTTGGGCTGCATCAAAGGAGTATAGTGTCTAGATCAGTGGTTCTCAACCTGTGGGTCCCCAGGTGCTTTAGCCTACAACTCCCAGAAATCCTAGCAAGTTTACCAGCTGTTATGATTTCTAGGTGTTGAAGGACAAAACATCTGGGGACCCACAGGTTGAGAACCACTGATCTAGATCAAGGGAAGTCATGGTGCCCCTTCTCTTCTGTTTTGGTCAAATCTCTTTACCTGACAAATTATGTGCACCACAGGTTTAAAGAGATATTGACTCTAAGCTGGAAAGTGTCCAGAGGAAAAGGGCAACTAAAATTATCAAAGGTCTGGAGACCATGAATAATCCCTCTAAGGAGCATCTTCAAGAACTGGGTCTGTTTAGCCTGCAGAAGAGAAGGTTGAAAGGTGACATGAGAGCCACGTATAAATACGTGAAAGGATATCATAAGGAAGAGGGAGCAGGTTTCCTTTCTGCTACCCTGGAAACTAGGACTCAGAACAATGGGTTCAAATTACAAGAAGAACATTAGGAAGAACTTCCTGACCATACAAGCTGTTCAACAGTAGGACTCTCTGCCTCGAAGTGTGGTGGAAGCTCCTTCCATGGAAACTTTTAAACAGAGACTGGATGCACAACTGTCAGGGTTACTTTGACTGTGCTTTTCCTGCAAGGTAGGGGTTTTGACTAGATGGACTATATAGAATCATAGCATCAAAGAGTTGGAAGAGACCTCATGGGCCATCCAGTCCAACCCCCTGCCAAGAAGCAGGAATATTGCATTCAAATCACCCCTGACAGATGGCCATCCAGCCCCTGTTTAAAAGCTTCCAAAGAAGGAGCCTCCACCACACTCTGGGGCAGAGAGTTCCACTGCTGAACGACTCTCACAGTCAAGAATTTCTTCCTCATGTTCAGATGGAATTTCCTCTCTTGTAGTTTGAAGCCATTGTTCCGCGTCCTAGTCTCCAAGGAAGCAGAAAACAAGCTTGCTCCCTCCTCCCTGTCGCTTCCTTTCACATATTTATACATGGCTATCATATCTCCTCTCAGCCTTCTCTTCTTCAGGCTAAACATGCCAGGCTCCTTAAGCCGCTCCTCATAGGGCTTGTTCTCCAGACCCTTGATCATTTTAGTCGCCCTCCTATGGTCTCTTCCCACTCTATTATTTTATGATTTCCATTCTACCTGCTCCCCATGATGATTCCAGGTATACAGATGCCCCCCTCCACTTTCTCCTCCCATAAAGGAGCCCCTTACTCCCTTCCTGACAGGGCCAAGCCTGCCTTTTAAGATCTGAGGTAACCGTATTTCCCCGGGTCTGAACGTGCCCTCCAATCTAATGAAAGTTGCCATTTTTAAAACCCTGAAACCAAAGAAAAGTATTTGTTGCTGAATGTCATGCAAAGCAGTGAAAGCGCTGTCCATGTAATTCAGCCATTGCAATTGCTGCCTGTTTACGATTCCTTCTTTAAAGACAAAAGTGTTAGAAGACCAAAGCTTCCTCTGGAATGTGTCCAGAGGAGGGTGACTAAAATGATCAAGGGTCTGGAGAACAAGCCCTATGAGGAGCGGCTTACAGAGCTTGGCATGTTTAGTTTTCAGGAGAGGAGACATGTATAAATATGTGAGGGGAAGTCATAGGGTGGAGGGGGCAAGCTTGTTTTCCGCTGCCCTGGAGACTAGGATGCAAAACAATGGCTTAAACTACAGGAAAGAAAGGAGATTACACCTGAACATAATTATTTATTTATTTATTTATTTGCCTTACTTATATACCGCTGTTCTCAGCCCGAAGGCGACTCACAGCAGTTCACAACAAATACGAACAGCAAAAATTCAGTGCTACAGTATAAAAACAGTTAACAACCTAACACATTACACAATTAATAAACAGTTACTACAATACCCATTCACTATCGTCTCATCATCAAAAACATGTTCCAGATTCGTCATCCATTGTTCCATTCCAGTGTTCATTAACCAATCATTGCACTAATTATTCGAATGCCTGCTCAAACAGCCAGGTCTTCACTTTTTTGCAGAATACCATTAGAGATGGTGCTAGTCTAATGTCCGTAGGAAGGGCGTTCCACAGCCGAGGAGCCACCACCGAGAAGGCCCTATCTCTCATCCCCGCCAGCCGTGCTTGAGAAGCAGGCGGGATCGAGAGCAGAGCCTCCCCGGAACATTTCAAAGTCCTGGTGGGTTCATAGGCAGAGATGCGGTCGGATAGGTAGCTTGGGCCGGAACCGTTTAGGGCTTTAAAGGCCAACGCCAGCACTTTGAATTGAGCCTGGTAGCAGATCGGTAGCCAGTGGAGTTGAACTTCCTGACTGTGAGTGCTGTTTAGCAGTGGAACCCTTAATCTGCCCCGGAGTGAGGTGGAGGCTCCTTCTTTGGAGGTTTATAAGCAGAGGCTGGATGGACATCTGTCGGGGATGCTTTGAATGCAATTTTCCTGCTTCTTGGCCGAATGGGCTTGGACTGGATGACCCACCAGATCTCTTCCAACTCTAGGATTCTATGATTCCAGCAATGGTAAATGATAACCTATGGGGTGCATTTCTGCTGTAGAATGGGTCCACTTTAACTGCCTTGGCTCAATGCTATGGAGTCATGTGGGCTACCGTTTGACAAGGCCTTGAACAGTCTATTGATGCCTCACCAAGCTGCAAATCCCAGAATGGCATAGCATTGAGCCATGGCCACTGAATTTAAGCTGCTTAGAGTCTCCTTGAGGAGAGAACAAGAGGGATACAAACAAACAAACAAACAACAACAGTTTTCAGGCCCATAGGCCTCGTAGGCTCTTACCATCTTACTCTCCAGGCTCCACAGCCACGACTTCCGCTTCCGCCGGCGCCACTTCCACCTTCAAATCAGCCCAGCAGCCAATTACGCGCTTCGTCTATTGCCCATCCCGGCCTGAGCGCTGATTGGCTGCTCCTTTGTGTCCTGATTGGTCGCTGCTCCTTTGTGTCCTGATTGGTCGCTGCTCCTTTGTGTCCTGATTGGTCGCTGCTCTGAGTCCGAACCCTTCTTTGGGCGGAAGTGGAGCGGAAAGTCACTTCTGTTGGGCAGGGGAATGGTGCTGTATTTCGAGTTGTTATCTTTTTGTGGATTACATGTATATCCCCGTTGGTATCCTATTACATTTCCCTTTCTTTTCGTTTTTCTATTTCTGCCTGGATCATCTGTTGCATAGGTTTATCTTCACTTTTGTCCCCTAAATTATATAATAATAATAATAATAATAATAATAATAATAATAATAATAATAATAATAATAATGTATTGTCGAAGGCTTTCATGGCTGGAATCACTAAGTTCTTGTGGGTTTTTTCGGGCTATATGGCCATGTTCTAGAGGCATTCTCTCCTGACGTTTCGCCTGCATCTATGGCAAGCATCCTCCTCTAGAACATAGCCATATAGCCCGAAAAAGCCTACAATGCGGAGAGAAAAAGCGGGATATAAATAAACATAAACATAATAATAATAAGGCTGACACGATATGAGGATTTAAAGATTGAACTGGAAAGACTCTGGCACAAACCAGTCAAGGTGGTCCCAGTGGTGATCAGCACACTGGGTGCAGTGCCTAAAGACCTTGGCCTGCACTTAAACACAATCGGCGCTGACAAGATTACCATCTGCCAGCTGCAGAAGGCCACCTTACTGGGATCTGCATGCATTATTCGCCGATACATCACACAGTCCTAGGCACTTGGGAAGTGACGTGTGATCCAATACAATAGCCAGCAGAGTGTCTGCTGTGGACTCATCTTGTTGTGTTTCTAATAATAATAATAATAATAATAATAATAGCACAAGCCAGTAAAGGTGGTCTCAGTGGTGATCGGCACACAGGGTACAATGCCTAAAGATCTTGGCCTGCACTTAAACACAATCAGCACTGACAAAATTACCATCTGCCAGCTGCAAAAGGCCACCTTACTGGGATCTGCATGCATTATTCGCCGATACATCACACAGTTCTAGACACTTGGGAAGTGTCCGACGTGTGATCCTATACAATAGCCAGCAGAGTGTCTGCTGTGGACTCATCTTGTTGTGTTTCAAATAATAATAATAATAATAATAATAATAAATTGTTATTTATTACCTGCCTCTCCTGATGGCTCGAGGCGGAGTACAACAAAGTCAAAAATGTATGTATATATATATCTATACACACACACATTATATATGTTATATTTTCATACTAGCTTGGGGACCCGGCGGTGCCCGTGTTATTTGAGAAAGGCATTGTTTGTCTGTGCTCCAAGTTTAGCCTAGATACAATGTCAGCTTGGTTCAGTGGGTGCAAGTGAACCAAAACTCCCATATGCAAGTCCCATCATCCATGGTCCATCCTCCTCCAAACTGCACCAGGATGTGGAATGGGTCATGGGGGCTCTGTATGCCAAGTTCAATCGTGATCAGTCATTGGTGTGGGTCGCAATGGTCTCAGGAAGTGAGTGAAGGTACTGAAAGTCCCATCATCCATGATCCATTGTCCCACAAACCACACCAAGATGTAGAGTGGGTCAATGGTCTGAAGAAGTGAGTGAAGATACTGCAATTCCCATCATCCACCGGCCCCTCTTCCTTTTTCCTTCCATTTTCGCCAACTTAATATCATATATATATATATATATATATATATATATATATATATATATACACACACACCCATATATATGTTATGCACACATTGCATATGTTTACACATTATATTATATATAATATAAATATAATATATACTTTATGCATGCATTATATTAGTTGTTTTTTTTTGTCATGTCAGGAGAGACTTGAGAAACTGCAAGTTGCTTCTGGTGTGAGAGAATTGGCTGTCTGCAAGGACATTGCCCAGGGGACACCCAAATGTTTTGATGTTTTTACCATCCTTGTGGGAGTTTTCTCTCATGTCCCCGCAAGGGGAGCTGGAACTGACAGAGGGAGCTCAACTGCGATATCACCGGATTCGAACCTGCAACTTGTCAGTCTTCAGTCCTATTTTCCAGATCACCAGACTGGGCCACAGCAATGCATGGCAGGGGACAACCATGGTGATCTGGAAAATAAGGTAATGAGAAAGTGTTGGTTTCTTATGTCTGTAATTTCTTTATACTTGTGGGTAAACAGTAACTCTTGCTGTTTCTTTGTCAGGGTTGATGTGGAGATTGTCTGTTCGGACTACTCAGGAAAAAGGCAAAATATAATTGTCCTTCTTTAGGGACCCCTTTCAAATCTATGATACTATATCTATGTGTATCTGAATCATATCTATCTATCTATGTATGTATGGCTGGATGGCTCTTTGTCAGGAAGGCTTTGATTACATTTTCTTGCCCTGGTGAAGGGAGTTGGACTGGATGGCCTTAAGTATTTTCTGTTGGTCATGGGGGTTCTGTGTGGGAAGTTTGCCCCAATTCTGTCGTTGATGGGGTTCAGAATGCTCTTTGATTGTAGGTGAACTATAAATCCCAGTAACGACAGCTCCCAAATGACAGGGTCTCTTTTCCTCAAACTCCATCTTTATTCATATTCGGGCATATGGAATATTCATGCCAAGTTTGGTCCAGATCCATCATTATTTGAGTCCACAGTGCTCTCTAGATGTAGGTGAACTACAACTCCTAAACTCAAAATACTGCACCAAACCCTTGCAGTATTTTCTGTTGGTTGTCTACAGCTCCCAAATGTCACTTCAGAATACTCTTTGATTGTAGCTGAACTATAAATCCCAGCAACTACAGCTCCCAAATGTCAAGGTCTATTTACCCCAAACTCGATCTGTTGTCACATTTGGGCATATGGAATATTTGTGCCAAGTTTGGTCCAGATCCATCATTGTTTCAGTTCAAGGTCAATGCCCACCAAACCCTTCCAGGTCTCAAGCTTTAAATACCTGGGAGTATTCTATCACTGCACTGGAAACAAGAAAGTACATGTAGATTACATAGCAGATGCAGCGCAAAAGAGCTCATATGCTATCCTAAAGTTTCTCAAAACGGGAGGAGGCCACTACATACCAGCAGCACTTAAGCTCTTTGAGGCAAAATCCATAGCACAAATGATGTATGGAGCCCAACTCGGTCCCTTCTCAAACTATGCCCCTCTGGAGCAAGTACAATCAAAATTTCTAAGATCGGCGATGCAGGTCCCCAGATGTGTCTCAAACGCCACCCTGCGATTAGAGGCAGGCCTCGTGAGAGTGGAGGCAAGAGTGTGGACAGCCACCCTCAATTACTGGCTGCATCTGTCTCTCTCAACATGTGGCCTTGCTCCGTTAACTCTGAGAGATGAATTTCAGTCTACATGGAATAAGGCAGTGGCAATCAAAATCGCAATTCTAGGCTTCCCTCAAGGACAACTGCTAGGTATGGGATGGGACCAAGCCAAGGATCTTATTAGACAACGGATCCTGGATATAGAGCGACAATCAGACTTAGCCTGCTCTCCAGCATTCACCATTAGCGAAGATAACAGATACCTCATCGCTCCCAGGGCTTACTTAGCAAACCTGGAGGTCCCTAAACACCGAAGAGCTTTCACATTGGCAAGATGCCATGCCCTTCCATCGGCAGTATTGGAGGGGAGGTACCGGAAGACCCCTGCCCAGGAGAGACCATGCCCGTGTGAGTCTGGCTACATTGAAACAACTGAACATGTGCTCCTCCATTGTGTGTTCTATAGAGACATTAGAGCTAATTTCATCACTCCGTGGCTTTTAAAACATCCAGGGCGCACTGAAAGATATTACACCTCCCTGTTGCTCTCGGACTCTTGCTCTGCGACAACCTACAGTGTTGCCAAGTTCTTTGCAGCAGCAATTAACATTAGGCGGCTGATGACCGACTCCACCAGGCAACTTCCTGCCGGGAATATAGTTAGAATGATTTGTAATAACTGAAATGCTGTAAATGCTCCCCTCTCATCCCTTTTAGAGCTCCCCAGTTGTCTGATATTTGTTATTAGCCGCCCCGCTATTTTACATGCACTTTAAACTGTAAGTTTAGTCTGCTTTTTAATCTGTCTCTTTTATAACATGTATTTAATCTGCTTTTTATCTGACCTACTTGGGAACTGCGATTCCCTTCCTTGGGCACCTGTGCCCCATTTTATACTGTGCTAGTCAAAGACCCTAATAAATCACTGATTGATTGATTGTAGGCAGGCCCGTAGCCAGGATTTCGTTTCGGGGGGGGGGGGGGGGCTGAGTCTGAGTGAAAGAGGGTCTAGCCTAGCAAACCTTTTGTATCATTACCCCAATACCCCTATGCATATGGGATATATTGAGTATGGTGATCAGATCATGATATGAATAAACATAACAGTTGAAATAATGCACCAGTAAGGCCTTTTCGCGAACCACCATGAAAATTTCGGGCGGGGGCTGAAGCCCCCCGAGCCCCCTGCCCTGGCTACATGCCTGATTGTAGGTGAACTATAAATCCCAGCAACTACAACTCCCAAATGACAAAATCGATTTTTTTTGAGTGATGGTCACTCCTTGGCTTAGTAGGTGTCTTGTGGCCAAATTTGGAGGCAATTCATACAGTGGTTTTTGAGTTATGTTAATCCCACAAAAGAACATTACATTTTTATTTATATAGATAGAAGATATGTGAGCATGTTAATCATGTTAAATAATATATCTATGTATATATAAAGGAGTATACAGATAGAGAATATTTTATAATATTCTCTATCTGTATGTTGTTGTTCATTCGTTCAGTCGTCTCCGACTCTTCGTGACCTCATGGACCAGCCTACGCCAGAGCTCCCTGTCCGGCCGTTACCACCCCCAGCTCCCTCAAGGTCAGTCCAGTCACTTCAAGGATGCCATCCATCCATCTTGCCCTTGGTCGGCCCCTCTTCCTTTTGCCTTCCACTTTCCCCAGCATAATTGTCTTCTCTAGGCTTTCCTGTCTCCTCATGATGTGGCCAAAGTCCTTCAACTTTGTCTCTAGTATCTTTCCCTCCAGTGAGCAGTCGGGCTTTATTTCCTGGAGGATGGACTGGTTGGATCTTCTCGCAGTCCAAGGCACTCTCAGCACTTTCCTCCAACACCACAGCTCAAAAGCATCGATCTTCCTTCGCTCAGCCTTCCCTAAGGTCCAGCTCTCACATCCGTAGGTTACTACAGGGAATACCATGGCTTTGACTAGGCGGATCTTTTTGCCAGTCTGATGTCTCTACTCTTTACTATTTTATCGAGACTGGACATTGCTCTCCTCCCAAGAAGTAAGCGTCTTCTGATTTCCTGGCCACAGTCTGCATCTGCAGTAATCTTTGCACCTAGAAATACAAAGTCTGTCACTGCCTCCACGGTTTCTCCCTCTATTTTCCAGTTGTCAATCATTCTTGTTGCCATAATCTTGGTTTTTTTGACGTTTAGCTGCAACCCGGCTTTTGCGCTTTCTTCTTTCACCTTGATTAGAAGGCTCCTCATCTCCTCCTCGCTTTCGGCCATCAGAGTGGTGTCATCTGCATATCTGAGGTTGTTAATGTTTCTTCCAGCAATTTTCACCCCAGCTTTGCATTCATCCAGCCCCGCACATCGCATGATGTGTTCTGCATACAAGTTAAAAAGGTTGGGTGAGAGTATGCAGCCTTGCCGTACGCCTTTCCCAATCTTGAACCAGTCTGTTGTTCCGTGGTCAGTTCTGACTGTTGCTACTTGGTCCTTGTACAGATTCCTCAGGAGAGAGACAAGGTGGCTTGGTATGCCCATCCCACCAAGAACTTGCCACAATTTATTATGATCCACACAGTCAAAGGCTTTAGAATAGTCAATGTTTTTCTGAAACTCCCTGCCTTTCTCCATTATCCAGCGGATATTGGCAATCTGGTCTCTGGTTCCTCTGCCTTTTCTAAACCCAGCTTGAACATCTGGCAACTCTCGCTCCATGTATTGCTGGAGTCTTCCTTGCAGGATCTTGAGCATTACCTTACTGGCATGAGAAATAAGGGCCACTGTACGGAAGTTGGAGCAGTCTTTCGCATTTCCCTTTTTTGGTATGGGGATATAAGTTGATTTTTTCCAGTCTGATGGCCATTCTTGTGTTTTCCATATTTGCTGGCAAATGGCATGCATCACCTTGACAGCATCATCTTTTAAGATTTTAAACAGTTCAGCTGGGATCCCTCTATCTGTATACTCCTTTATATATGTCAGCGTTCCCTTTAAGAAATCCGTGGGCGGGGCTTAGTGGCGGGCGGGGCTTGGTGTGGCGGTGCGTCATCGCTGCCTCCTGGGAGGGTGTGGCTTCGGAGGAGGAGTCGCCCGACCCCTCCCGGGTGGTGGGCGGGGCCCTAGGGAGGCCCCTCCCCTGAGTGGGCGGGGCTTGGAGAAGAAGCCTAAGCCAGCCAGTCCGTCAGTCGCCTTAAGTTGGTCAGGAGCGGAGCCATGGAGAAGACCCGGCGGCCCGTGGTGGTGACGGGTAAGGGCGGAGGCCGGGGAAAGAGAAAGGGCAGGAAGGAAGGAGGGGGGGGGGGGCTGCCTGCGAAGCGGGGGAGGATTTCAAGGAGGGAACTTTGTCCCTTGCTAACCCCCCTTCCCCCGCAACACAACCCCGCACAAGTCGTTCCCCCTCCTTTTGACCCCCCCCTCTCCCCAGAAGCAGCTTTCCAAGCCTTTGCCCTTTACAGACTTCTCTTTCAGACTCTCTTTGAAAACAACCATAATCTGGAATTCATTAAGACCAGCCTGACTACACTCAACAAAACTTTCAGCTGCATTGTTTCCAGCTCTTCCCATTTTGAACCAGATGTTTTTCTATCTCATTCATTATTATTATTATTATTACTATTATTATTAATAGTAATGATAACAATATATATTAGATTAATTCGTCTGCTTTAAGCCTCTTCCTAGCTTAAGATTCAACAGGTATTTTTATTTACTTTGTTTCTTTCTGTCCTGCTTTATCTGTGTTTCCTCCACCACAGACATCCCAGTGTTTCAGGGGTTTAACCCGGTGGCGCGGTGGGTTCAACCCCTGTGCCGTCAGGACTGAAGACCGACAGGTCGCAGGTTCGAATCTGGGGAGAGGCGGATGAGCTCCCTCTATCAGCTCCAGCTCCTCATGCGGGGACATGAGAGAAGCCTCCCACAAGGATGATAAAACATCAAGTCATCCAGGCGTTCCCTGGGCAACGTCCTTGCAGACGGCCAATTCTCTCACACCAGAAGCGACTTGCAGTTTCTCAAGTCGCTCCTGACACGACAAAAAAAAAGCGTTTCTGATTATCTCAATTGCTATGGAATTTGCATGCCCTCGTCCACTGCCTCTCCCATAACCCTTTCCTGGAGCCCCGGGAGGCGCAATGGGTTAAACCAAGCATCCAGGGCCTTTTCTGTGGTAGCCCCCCGACTCTGGAACTCCCTCCCTAAAGATATCAGACAGGCAGTCTTTAGGAAGAACTTGAAGACCTGGCTGTTCCGATGTGCCTTTCCAGAATAGGAAAACTCCAGTAACATGTCCCAGAAGCACTTTATTAGAGTTTAAGATTGCCCGCACAATGCACTTACCCTAAAATCCGATATACCACCTGTCACATCAGCACTTTTAACCTGTACCCATTACATTGGCCCGGCCCTGTCTTCTTGTGTTTTGGTGTATTGTTTTATTGTTTTGTTGTTTGGTATTGCTTTAATTGCTTTGATTTGTTTTAAGTTGTGTATTTTGTTATGCTATGTTTTTATTGAGGCCTTGACCTGTGTAAGCCGCATCGAGTCCTTCGGGAGATGCTAGCGGGGTACAAATAAAGTTAATAATAATAAATAATAATAATAATCCTCAAACTGCGGCCCTTCAACTCCCAGAATTCCTGACAATTGAACAAGCTTGCTAGGGCTTCTGGGAGTTGGAGGCCCAAACAGCTGGAGGATGTCTGGGTTTAACCCTTGTACCAGCAGAAGTGAAGGTCACAGGTTCGAATCCAGGGAAAGTGCGGATGAGCTTCCTCTGTCAGCTCCAGCTCTCGATGCGGGGACATGACAGAAGCCTCCCACAAGGATGGTCAAAACATCCGGATGTCCCTGGGCAAGGTCCTTGCAGACGGCCAATTCTCTCACACCAGAAGCGACTTGCAGTTTCTCAAGTTGCTCCTGACACGAAAAAAAACCCAAACTACAAGAAAAGGAGATTCCTTCTGAACATGAAGAAGAATTTCCTGACTGTGAGAGCCGTTCAGCAGTGGAACTCTCTGCCCCGGAGCGTGGTGGAGGCTCCTTCTTTGGAAGCTTTTAAACAGAGGCTGGATGGCCATCTGTCAGGGGTGATTTGAATGCAATATTCCTGCTTCTTGGCAGGTGGTTGGACTGGATGGCCCATGAGGTCTCTTCCAACTCTTTGATTCTATGATTCTATTATTCTTTCCTATTCTTTTCTATGACACACAGCAAACAGAGGAATCGATCAGCGCCGGAACATAATAGAACAGTCTTTCTCAACCTTCCTAATGCTGCGACCCCTTAATACAGTTCCTCATGTTGTGGTGACCCCCAACCATAAAATTATTTTCGTTGCTACTTCAGAACTGCAATTTTGCTACTGTTAGGAATTGTCATGTAAATATCTGATATGCAGGATGTATTTTCATTCACTGAACCAAATTGGGCACAAATACCCGATACGCCCAAATTTGAATCCTGGTGGGGTTGGGAGTGGATTGATTTTGTCACTTGGGGGTTGTAGTTGCTGGGATTTATAGTTCACCTACCATCAAAGAGCTTTCTGAACTCCACCAACGATGGAATTGAATCAAACTTCTCACACAGAACTCCCATGACCAACAGAAAATACGGGAATGATTTGATGGGCATCACCCTTGAGTTTTGGAGTTGTAGTTCACCTACATCCAGAGGGCCCTGTGGACTCAAACAATCATGGATCCGGACCAAACTTGGCACCAATACTTAATATTCCCAAATGTGAACACTGGTGGACTGTGGGGAAAATAGACCTTGACATTTGGGAGTTGTGGTTGCTGGGATTTCTAGTTCACCTACCATCAAAGAGCATTCTGAATCTCATCAATGATAGAATTGGGCAAAACTTCTCACACAGAACCCCCATGATTTTGGCAACTCCTCTAACATCCCCTTGCGACCCCCCCCCCCGGGGTCCCGTCCCCCAGGTTGAGAAACACTGTACTAGAAAGACACCAATGGCCCTCCCTCCAATGACATTACAGGTTATACTGAGTGCCATAAACATGACCAAGAGTCCTGCCAGTGTTCTCCACAAACACCAATCTGCCTCCCACCCAAGTAGAGGCTTTCATACGGGGACAATTTCATCTAGGTTTCACGTGTTTCCTCCACCACAGACATCCCAGTGTTTCTGACTCTCTCCATTGGTGTGGAATTTGCATGAGCCCGCCCAGTGCCTCTCCCTCCACCCTTTCCTATTCTTTTCTATGGCACACAGCAAGCAAAGGAATTCATCAGCAACTGAACATGCTAGAGAGGTTAGGGGAGAATTCCTCATGATTGACAGGAATTGTAGGTACAGTAGAGTCTCGCTTATCCAACCTTCACTCATCCAACGTTCTGTATTATCCAACGCTGTCTACCTCCCGCCCGGATCCACAGCTGCATCAATACATTGCAATCTTTTGGTGTTAAATTCATAAATACAGTAATTGCTACATAACATTACCATGTAGTGAACTGCTTTTTCTGTTGATTTGTTGCAAAACAATGTTCTTGGAGCTCAATTTGGAAAATCATAACGTAATTTGACATTTAATAGGCATTTCCTTAATTCCTCCTTATTATCCAACATTTTTGCTTATCTAACATTTTGCCAGCCCGTTTATGTTGGATAAGCGAGACTACTATACTGGGATGTGAGAGCCGTTCAGCAGTGGAACTCTCTGCCCCGGAGTGTGGTGGAGGCTCCTTCTTTGGAAGCTTTTAAACAGAGGCTGGATGGCCATCTGTCAGGGGTGATTTGAATGCAATATTCCTGCTTCTTGGCAGGGGGTTGGACTGGATGGCCCACGAGGTCTCTTCCAACTCTATGATTCTATGATTCTATAGTTTGCCTACAATCTAAGAACTGCACTGTGAACTCTACCAATGATGGACCTGGAACTCACTTGGCACACAGAACTCCCACGACCGAGATAACATACTGGAGGTCTTTGGAGGCATTTATAGGAGTTGTAGTTCACCTACATCCAGATCGCACTATGAACCCAAACGATGGATCTGGAGCAAACTTGGCATGCATAACCGATATGCACAAATTTGAATACTGGCGGGTTTTGAGTGGGATTAGCCTGGACATTTTGGAGTTGTAGGCACTGGGATTTATAGTTTATAGTTCATAGTTCAACTGCAATCAATGAGCACTCTGAACTCCACCAAAGACGGAATTGGACAAACCTGGTACTCAGAGCCCCCATGACAAGCAGAAAATACTTTGGGGGAAATTCACCTTGATATGGGGGAATTGTGGTTCACCTATATCCAGAGTGCACTGTGAACCCAAACATCGATGGATCTGGACCAAACAAGGCACGCAGAACCCCCATGACTAAGTCAATTTACAGGAGGGGTTTGAGCGGACTGACTCACCATAATGGGAGTTGAAGCTTACCCTACAGCCAGAGAGCACGTTGAACCCCACCAACATAACAAACCTTACATACTATTATTATTGATAAAATTTAAGAGTAATTAGAGTCTCCTTTAATACTCTTCTTAGCTGAACATTCAACAGGCATATTTGTTTCTATTACTATTAGTATCTCATTGATTATTATTACTACTACTACTATTAATAATAATAATAATAATAAAATTTAAGAGGAATTAGTCTCCTTTAATCCTCTTCCTAACTTAACATTCAACAGGTATATTTGTTGCTATTGCTATTATTATTATCTTGTTCATTAATAATAATAATAATAATGAACAAGATATTATTATTATTAGTGACAAAATGCCTGTTGAATGTTCTGTTAGGAAGAGGATGTTATTAAAGCAGACTCTAATAAAATTTATTATTAATAATACTAAAATTTAAGAGTAATTAGAGTCTCCTTTAATCCTCTTCCTAGCTTAATATTCAACAGGTATTTTTATCACTATTATTATTACTATTATTATTCTCTTGTTCATTATTATTATTACATTTTATTTGAGTCTGCTTTAATAAAATACTTGGTATTATTATTTTCATTGATATGCAGCCCTTCTCCCATTGGAAACACTGTACATGAAATGCAATGCAGACGAGGAGGAGAAGTATGCCATTAAAAACCAAGCCGTTTGTCAATGGGAAATATGTGAAAAACTACATAAACTCCACCCCCATGGCTCCCCCACACCAAATTCCTTTAGAAAACTAAAAAAAAAATCCCTTCCTTTCCTTTGTACTTTAATGGACTAAATTGTGCTTTATAGTCATTCCCCAACAACTTTGTC